AATAGTTACTTAATAATAAATTCACACGTAGATTCTCACAAATAAACAAACAGAACTTGTAATAGAATAAAAATCACTTGGTATTGTTTATTTTTATTATTTAATGAGAGTTTTATCAATCTTCTTCAAAAATGATTCAATGACACCAAAATACCAAGTGAAAATAGTAGTTGATACCAGCTTGGCTCGAAGGTCCAAAAAATAAATCCGTTTTTGTGTAAGTTGCTTTTATCATTCCGGCCTACGTGACTTCAATCTCGCTAATAAATTCATTCCTATCCACTTCCGAAATAACATACTCTATATTTTAAAAGAGTTTTAAATAAAAAGAGCATACATATTTGCATAATATTTGTATTGAAATTAAAACAAAACTTCTTCTTTGGAGAGAGCAACCAGAACAGAAACTTTAACCTTTTCAAGACGAGAAATTTTCCTTTGGAAAATGACGAATATCAGATCAAATATTTATGGGATAATTTTCAAGTCAAAAAATGCCTTGCAACTTGAATTTTTGGTAATGCGATCATTGTCGAAATGAGTCCTTTACCCACCAAATAAAAAATAGAGCTTCGGGTCAAATATAAACCCAATGTTATTTAGCGACCTGTTGTTCAATAATTTGTTGAAGTAATGAAAAGCGGAATGGAAGTATTTCGGATAAACACATTTTTTCATTTTTTTGCCAAGGCATTTCATCCCTGTCCGCCCCTCACTACTTCAAAAAATTATAAATACAATAAATATTTTTGACTTCGTAAATAAAGCAACCCTGGGACCCAAGGCCGGCCCAGCCGGAAATTTGAAAGCAATCGACCAAATCGGTAATGGTCACGTGATTCAAGAGGTTCAAATATAAACGCGAGAAAAGGCCGGTTGATGATCTTTTTAGGATTTCTTCCTTTGGTTAAATTCCTTCAGGGATTTTCTTTTTTGATGGAAAAAGATAGTAGAAAAATTGAGAAATTCAATTTCAACAATATATCTATAAATTGCCCATTTATATAATTAAAGAAATATGGATTTTAAACATGCAATAAAACCTACTTCCATGAATTGGAACGTTTCGAGCCAAGTTTGGTAAGTGATTTATTCAAAATGTTGGGCCTACGGTGAATTATTTCAGGAACCCGATGAAAACTGTCACTTTGTCGTTCTCTAAAATTATCTTCCAGTGGACTCCTAGGCCATTATCACAGCAATCTGATTAAAATTGATCATTTATTGACAATAAATTATCTTTATATAGCCTTTCAGACAAATATCAAAACAATTTGATGAAAAGTCACCCATTATTTCTATATATTTAATCTAAAAATTTACTTTGTTTTGCCTGTTAAGAGATGAACGAAAATAGTTAAAGAAATTGTGCATTTATTGGTTTAAAAATTATTTATAATCATTTATAAAAGCAATTCGATAAAAAATGTAATTTTATATATCAATAAATTTCCTTACACTGAGTAATTCGACAAAAATTGATCAATTATTGCCTCACCCAACTTTTTGTGCGTATTCAGATGGAAAATGCACAGAGCAATTTAACCAAAAATGACCATTCATTACCTCAACTAAACTTTTTATGTCTAATCTCCAGGGAAATACATCGATATGACGAATTGTCCATTTATTGGCTCAGCAAACTTTTTTTGCCTATTCAGATGGGAAATTCACAGAGTAATTTGACCAAAATTGACCATTCATTGCCTCAACTAAACATTTTATGTCTGATCTCCTAGGTAATACATTTATATGACGAATTGTCCATTTATTGACTCAACACACAATTGAATAAAAAATGGTGAATTTATTCACTAGACAAATTATCTCTGTGCGGTTCGTAGTCAATTAGGTAAGTCTTTGACAAAAACGGTCAATTTATTGACTCAAAAAATTATGTCTATGCGTTCTCGAAGTAAATTATAAAAGTGTTTTGATAAAAACAGTACATTTATTGGTCTCTTTGTCAAGTGACAGGGCCAATTTGCCTCCACAAATTTCTGTTTTGTCTTGTAGTCCATTATGAAAAAAATGTATAAAAACTGATTTATTGACTCAACAATCTATTTGTAATCGTGTAGCCAATCAGGAAAACAATTTCATAAAAAATCCCCATTTATTGATTCAACAAATTTTATCTGCTTGCAATTAATATAAATTCTATGTGGTCTCCTAGTCAGTTATGAAAAGAAAGTGAAAAATCTAAATTTACTGGTGACCTAATCGAATTAGTAAAGGGAAATATTTATTTAGAAGTTACTTTGATGCCTAGGCTCTGCGGTCAGCAATTCTACGATTCCTTCGCCATGAGAAAAAAGTTTTAACACGCAACAAGAATGGAATTTTGTGTCATCAAGTCTGGAGTTACCAGGTTATGTGTGTTACATGCTACATACTTTTTTCAACTTCCGTCATATTGTTTCGCTTCCAGACTGAGACACAGTGCACGATCCAGCTTCATAATGACTCTCAAATCCAAATCGTTGAGATCGATGAGAAAATACTGGCAAAGGGGAGGAGGACTACCTTCTGGACCGAGAGATTGAGAATTATCGCGTTGGCATTGCGTGCCACCTGAGCGCGCTCTACCCTCTAATCTCTCGACAGAAGCTTGCATGACTGTTAAACTACTGTACAATCTACAGGGGGAAGTTTGGCAAAAGTCTATTCGGCCTCAACCTTCAGGATCAGTTGTTCATCAATGAGAAACTTTATCACCAAGAACGACCGTAAAGAAATGGAACAGTATCTTTAGATCGCTTAGCTCTGAGGCATCGAAGATTTTGACCGATCACTTCAATAACCCAGACTTGGATAGAAAAAGTAAGTAAGTTTAAGGGCGAATCTATCCTTATCATTAGAAAAAGACAATCATATAATTTTTTTCCATAAATTATTACTGTGCTGCTTTGGCCGGAACCTCAATCAGGCGTTGTGTGGCCATGGGGAAGAGTTTAAAATTTCTAGTTGACGTTGATCGACCAACGTAGTTTAAACTGATGTATTGGATCTTCTTGAGGTAATTTTACAGGTGAATAAAGAACATCACTATTGAGTTTCACCAAGCTTTCGGCGAATGTACCGCCATCATCAGGGCTAATTTATTTTTAAAAAAAATTTACATAAACAGAGTTAAATAACACCTCTAATATAAATACATTATAATAAATACGATATCTGAATAACTATAAATACATTACAAAAATACAATTACGTACTTAACCCAGTTGTTAGGAAAATTCAATTTATTGCTTATGTTTGTTGTTTTTTTGAAGTGAAGGTGAAAATGAATCTATATACTAAAAAACAAAAATCTTCTTGCTTAAAGTCTAGTGACCCTCATCGGTCATCCTTTGGTTTCATTTTTTAATAAGTTAACACTAAATCTCAGGTACATGTATTTCTTTATCAAAGATACGTTATANAAAAGTAGTCGTCTCTCCAAGTTCAACTCTCTGCCCAGGATCCCAGGGGAGTCCAACTTGAAGAAATGACCACTTTCCGTCGCATGTGTTGCCAAACCCGTGGTTTTCTTTCTATTTATACAGTCCAGTCTATGTTGGTTCATTCTTATTTCTACTTTTTGTTTTATTTGCCCAACGTATTGGATATGGCAACCCGCACATGACACCTTGTAAATCACACTGGAAAGTGAGCTTATTGGCTCCTTCGCCTTTAGGTTTGAATGCAAACATCTAAGGTTATTTTTAAATTTATACGTGATACCAATTTCCCGCATCTTATCTTTAAACAATTTCTTGATTTTCGGGGATACATTAGGAACATATGTGATTGATCTAAATGAAATTGGTTTATCACTTCCCTCCAACATGACATTGGGGGTAATGTTATCCTTTAGAGCAGTATTCTGAACATATTTTTCTTTAAATTCATTTATGAGCATACTTGCCAGTGCCAACGGGTAGTGGTTTGTTTTTAGCATTTTGTGGACCTTGGCTACATTTTGTTCCAGATATTTTGAGTCGCTCAAGCCCAAGGCTCGGTTTATAAAATTTCTGGCACAGTTCACCTTTAGAGAGAAAGAATGGGAAGAGTTGAAATCCAGGAACCTATCATTGCTAGTGGGCTTTCTGTACCAATTGGTCGTTCATCTTTAATCATTTCTTTCAGTGACCAAATCCAAGTATGGAAGTTTACCATTGTTCTCCTCCACTGTAAACTTTAGGGCGCCATGGTAGGAGTTTAACAGTCTAAGCATTTCTTGAACATAAACTCTTGGTATAATGCTTAAAAGGTCGTCAACATATTTTAATAATAATTTATTTTCAAACGGCAATTGTAACAGAACCCACTCCAAAAGGTCGGTCCTTTTGTTTGTAAATCTCATCCTCGAATTTAAAGTATCCATTCATTGCTGTAAATTCCAAAGTTTCCATAAACAGTTCTATGGAAAGGTCCGGATAGTGCTCCATGATCTCAACCCATCTCTTTTGAACCGTGTAACTTACCAAAACCAAAAACATGTGCAATAAATTGAATTTTCCTAACAACTGGGTTAAGTACGTAATTGTATTTTTGTAATGTATTTATATAAGATGTGTTATGTAACTCTGTTCATGTAAAAAAAATTTTAAAAAATAAATTAGGCCCTGATGATGGCGGAACATTCGCCGAAAGCTTGGTGAAACCCAATAGTGATGTTCTTTAAACCTGTAAAATGACCTCAAGAAGATCCAATACAACATCAGTTTAAAATTTGTTTTTCATTATTACTTTTAGTAACTACCTAGGTTTCTAGGTCGTTCAAAATTAATGACGATCTAACTTCTAACAAAAGACCATGAAACACGCCGGCCTATAAACTTTGTGCAGTTGATGTAAATTAATGGATAAAGTCTGCCTGTCGCAGTTCACTTTCAGACAGAATTGTTTATTTCTAAACTCTGTTGAGTTTAAAATAAGTCAGTTTTGGAAATCTAACCTTTACTTTATACAGCCTTTTTCTATCTGTTTATTGTTACTATTTACATATTTAACTGCAGGATTTTGGGGAAAAAGGTAAATCTTTGTAATCAAGACAATACTTAGGGTGTAGACGGTTCGATTTGAGTTTAAAGTAATTTTCCGTCTAGGCGATCAGCTGAACAAACATCGAGGCCGGTAAATATATCGATGACTTTAAAAACAAAAATTCGTTTTCAGAATACATCGAAGTGGGCCGCCGTGGGACACAAACCGATCACGTTCTCCTGGGTTAACGAAATCGCTGGACGAGTAGGATGGACCAGGCCTACGTCGAAATGAAGAGGGCCAAGTTGCTGAAGAACGCCGAGCGCGGTCTTCTCCTGGCCCGGGCCAAGCTGCAGAACCGGCTCGTCGTCATGGTCGACGACGAAGGGAAAACGGAGCTGACGTTCGACCAGGGCGTTCGACCGGAAAGCGACAACAGGAGGTGCATTCGACTCAACACCGGCAACGAGCCAAACGCTATCGGGTAAGCAAAAAATGTTTTGAAAGAAGATTTAAACCATTGAACTGTTCATAAAAACAAGGATACTGGGGTCTGAGGTCCGAATCTCTCTCTTCGACGTATGTTATGGCAATGGGACGATTGGAAAGCATGGCTGCAACAGTCAAATCTGATTTTGATCTTTAAGGACAATTTTGACCATCGGCAATGTCATGAAAATCAATTAATTCAATATGTGCCATAAAGCTTTTTATCGTTAAGATTTTGGCCAATGAACAATTTGAATCAATTTAATTTACAACAATTACATTTAATTTTTGTTATAATAAACAAACATAACTAAAAAAGGAGGGAAAATTCCAAAGGTAGGCTGAGGTGGGAGGTGGTGTCCGAGTGGATCGAAGTCACGATAGCACAAGTGGGAGAGTAGCGGCGTATTTAGTCGAAGATCGTGGGTTCGAATCCCGCTTGTGCCATTAACTTTTTTTCATCTCAATTAAAAACCTTAATTAATTGATAACAAACTTGTTGACAAAGAAGATCTAAAGGATTAGCTAATATTTTTGTTGAAGTAGATTTTTAGTGAATATTTCGCACCATAGATTTCGCTTTAACAGGTAGTGCGTGTTGGCTGAGTTAGGTTATAGTAGGTAAGGTTAGGATTAGGGATACGGACGAAATAGATTTGTTAGGTTAAATATCCATGATGCAATGTTTTTCCAAGGAGTGGCGAAAATATGCGAGTCGTTTTTAACATGGTAGATATAGTTTTGGATAGAAAAACCTTTTTGTGTGGTCATTTTTTGTCATTGATTTCACGTTATTGTTGCTTTAGGTTAAATTGATTGTATTGGCTTCGGATTAGGTTAGGTTAGTGTTGCGATAGGCTAGGTTAGAATTAGAAACAGGCTAGGTTAGGTTTAGGGACAAGTTAGGTTAGGTGAAATATCCATTCATGATTCAATGCCGGAGACGAAAACGCTGAGAAGTTTGTTTACGTTTTGAAATGTAAAATTGGTAATAATTTTTTTTTCACTAACATTCTCCAATGGTTCCAGATATTCGACCCCGATCTCAAAAGTGCTGGAATTGCTCGAAGCCGGCCGGCCAAAGTTGGCCGCCGGCGAGCTCGAGGGGATCTTCAGCGATATCCACACTCAGCTCAGCTCTTCGGCGACCAGTATACAATTTTTGAGAATGGCCAAAAAAAATTTGAACCTCCTCTGCGAACTGGAACAGAACTTTGCCGAACAGAAACAGACAGACGATCGCAAGTTATACGGCCTAGAAGACCCTCTCGTCTTCGAGAAGATGAGCCAATAATAAAATCACACTGAATAAAAATTTATTCTTTTATTTTTGCGTTTAAAGTTTGGATCGACATTCCAAGAGGCATTTGGGAAAACAGAGCCGGTTCAATTTGGAATTTAAAGTCAATACTATCAGGAAAACAACTGTACAACAATACACACCGTAAGAAAAATATTAGTCTAGACGAGTAATATATGAATAAACAATTTGAAAATATCTACGTCTAAAAGAAGTCCGTAGATAATAAGATTAGACATATTTTAAAACCATAAAACAGTATTAGATTGCCAATTAGTAAACAGCAATAGCCGTCTGATTAAATTTAAAAAAAAATCAAAAGGTTTAAATAACAATATATAAAACGTAGTTAAACGTTTTCTCCGTCATAGTCATAGTCACTGCTTCTCTCGGAAATGATGATGAACCCTTTATCAATTCTTATAGAGTCAATTTTGAACAATTGACAGAACGATTCGTTGATGATTTAATCAACATCGGCCGTTGTAAACGCATCTATGATAGAATTACACTCATTCCTTTAGACGCATCAATTCAATTTATTTATCTACTACCTCCATATTTTCAGTCTTGATTCTCTTTAGAATTTATGTAGATAGATACATGGATAGATAGATAAATAAGATAGATATATAAATAGATAGATAGATCGATAGATAGAGAGTGATGGTGTGAGAGGTGAAAGACAGAAACCGAGAGAGAGAGAGAGAGAGAGAGAGAGAGAGAGAG